TGTGGTGCTCCTGTCCCCTCCAGGTCTTCCTATCTTCCTCTTCTTCCATAGGATTCCAGCACTCAAGTTTGGCTATGAGTCTCAGTATCTCCTTTGTTACCCTGGTGGGTAGAGGCTTTCAGAGGTCCTCTGTGGAAGGCTCCTGTCCTTTTCCTTGTCTTCTCCTACTTCGATGTCTATCCTGTTTGCCTTTCTGATTGAGGATTAAGCATCTTACCTAGGGTCCTCCTTGTTTTTTAGCTTCTTTAGGGCGATAGCTTTTATAGCTTTTATCCTGTATTATATGGCTAATATCCACTTATAAGTGAATATATATTCTTGGCTGCTCAGTTTCCAAGTGGTTCCCTAGTAAGGGGTACAGGGACTGTCTCTGACATGAACTCAATGGCAGGCTCTTTGATCACTTCCCTATTGGGAGTGCAGCCTTGCCAGGCAACAGAGGAAGGCAATGCAGCCAGCCTTGATGAGGCCTGATAACCTAGGGTCAGATAGAAGGGGAAGAGGTCCTCCCCTATCAGGGGACTAGGGAACAGGCATAAGGGGAGAAGAGGGAGGGTGGGTGGGACTGGGAGGAGATGAGGGAGTGGCTGCAGCAGGAATATAAAATGAATAAATTGTAATAAATAAATATATAAATAAAATTAAATTAAAAAAGGTGTTCTAGTAATAAAAAGAAATATGTAACAAAAAGAAATTAGTTTAGGATGCTGTATCCCATGTATTAGGAAGAATAGTATTGAAAAGAAATTAGAAGAAGGGTATCTTTTGTTTTTTTTGGACTCTCTTTGTAGACCAGGCTGGCCTTGAGCTCACAGCAATCCACCTGCCTCTGCCCCCCTGAGTGCTGGGATTGCAGGCGTGCACCATCATGCGTGGCATGGAGCAGGATATCTTTAGGTAGCTTTCAAGAGAATTTTAACTGAGAGATTAAGGTTTGAGGTTGGCACTCTAACGGACTTGACAGCAATATGAATTGTGAGTGAGAAGATTTTCTCTCTCTGTGGATCTACACCTTCAAAGAAGAACTGTTGTTTAGATTTTTTATTTTATTTTTTTGAGATTGTAATATAATCATATCATTCTCTTTTTTTCTTCCTTTTTAAATTCATGGCCTCTTTTTTCATTAATTCGTGCATATATGTGTATACATATCTATTCTTAAATACAATCTGCCCAGTTTGTATGATGTTACTTGTGTGTCTGTTTCCAGGCATGACCAGTTTATATTGATGACCAGTCGGTGTGCTCTTCCTGGGGGAAGGCTGTTTCTTCCTCTCTCAGCATTCCTTAGTTGCTGGTAGTGGAAAACTTTTTGATGGAAAAACTGGTAATTCTGAGGTGAGGTAGAAGGAAGAATTGAGAGCAAGTTGCATAAACACAGCCCTTTGGAGGTATGTATGGAAAAATTAGCTACCTTAATGTGGAATTCTTATCTTTATGTAAAGTAAATGTTATAAAGTTCTGCATATTTTGGTTGCTCAAACTTGGTAAAGTCAGTTTTCATAGTAACTAGATTTGATGCAAGCATGGCCTCAGTTGTTGACGTTCTGTCTGTGCCTGTCACCTGCCCCACGTGTGCTGTGTTAAGGCTCTAAAGACTCAGCACATGTGGTCTGAATTGCATTTCCTCTTCTTGAGTGAGTGACCAGGAGGAGAATGCCCCAATTTCCAGAATATGAGTAGATGGCTGCCTTATCCAAACCTAATTAATTTCAAATATTTATTTTATCCAAATATACATAGTTCTTTGATGGTAAACTGACAGGATTAAAAAAAGTCTTAAAAAATTTCTTTTTGTGTTTTGAGAGTAGGTTTTATATGCTCAGGAAGTTCTTGAAATTGCTGTGTGGCCTAGGATGAACTTGTTAACTAGCCTAGCCTTGAACTTCTGACCTTTCTGCCTCTACTTTCCAAGTGTCTAGATTACAGTTGTACCACCATGCCTGGCTAAAAGATTCTTTAGAATATTCTCAGCTTTCACCACTGTCCAAAGAAAATAAGGAGATTAGCCGTTATAAACTCTGCTTGCTAAGGATCCATACTTCAGGTGCAGTCATAACACAGCGGCGAGCAAAAGTGCAGGTCCTGCAGATGTGTGCTTAATCATCAGAAAGGAGCCTGAGGACATTCGTTATGTTTTGTTGATGTTTTAAAAATTTTAGATATGAGAAGAAGATTTTTTTGGAGAATATTCTTATTTCCTTTGGCTATTTTTGTAGTATAAAGGAGGATTATAATATAATTTTATATTTTTAATAATATATGTGTAAAATCATATATATTGTACTTTTAATATAATCATGCTTTTATTTATAATATACCTGAGCAATTAGATGTTTGATAGAAATAAGTAATAGCTGTGTACACATTGAGAAAGCATAAGACTTTATTTTTATGATTACAAAACATAAAAATCATGGAAAGACTTTACCACTTCAGAAGCATTTCAATAATTTGGTCCAAGTTATTTTTATGATGATTACTGGTTCTCGTCCAACCACGCTGAACCCATGCATGATTTTTCACAGTTTATCCCCAGAAAAAATTTAAAAATGACTCTTCCATCACAGAAAATACTTACACAAGGCACAAACTCCAGGAATTAAAGACAGGAACATAGCATGTTGCTTTCTTTGCAGACACTGCGCATGTCTGTGATGATGCGATGTTCTGAAAATACCGCTTACATCCTAAGAGACTGGAACTTTTGCTGCACCTCACAGCTAGAGTTAATAATATACCTAAAGTCACTTAAGACTTAAGACTATCATCGTACTGTGTACTCAAACTGTTTGATTAAACTGCCTTTAAAAGAAAAATGTAAGATCAAACCTTATTTGCCTTGGATTTTCCATGTATTTAACTTTTACAACCCAAGTGAATGTATAGCTGCGATTTTAAGTTCTGTATTCTTCAGTGCCCCAACCCAGATAATGCATGTATATCATTTGCTGAAAGCAACAAAAAATAAGTTGTAAAGAACTCCTGAAATCTACCATAAAGGTTGAAAGCAACCATTTAGGGATACTGGTTGATAAACAATGTTTGTTATCTGGGTTGGTTGGGATCAGCTGGAGCCAGTGACTTAATCCTTTTAAAACTCTGTTAAAGTAGTCTGTAAGACTGATGCACCAACCAAGGACCATGCATGAAGAGGACCTAGACCTCCTGCTCAGATGTAGCCAATAGGCAGTTCAGTCTCCACATGGGTTCCAGGGAAAGGGAGCAGGGGCTGCCTCTGTCATGAACTAGGTTGCCTGCTCTTTGATCACTTCCCCCTGGCGATGCAGCCTTGCCAGTCCACAGAGGAAGAGGATCCAGGTAGTCCTGATGAGACTTGATAAGCTGGGGTCAGGGGCAGGGGAGGAGAACTCCCCCTTTCAGTGGATGAGGGGAAGGGGATAAGAAGATGAAGGAGGGAGGGTGGGACTGGGAGAAAATGAAGGAGGGGGCTACAATCAGGCTGTAAAATGAATAAATTGTAAAAAGTAAAATAAAATAAAATAATAACAATTTAAAAAGTTTTCTGGAAAGAACTCATTCTTTTCCTGTGTGACGTTCATGTTGTTTAATAAAGACGGAGTGAAGCCCTTTGTTAGGGAGAAACATAGAAGACACATATGATACACATACATATACAAACATGCACCGAATCACAGAGACACAGAGGCACACACAGAAAGAGGGAGGTATAGTCGCACAGACAGACACAGAGGCAGACACAGAAAGAGGGAGGTACAGTCGCACAGACAGACACAGAGGCAGACACAGAAAGAGGAAGGTACAGTCACAGAGACAGACACAGGGGCACACACAGAAAGAGGGAGGTACAGTCGCACAGACAGACACAGGGGCAGACACAGACAATGATGCAGGTACAGATTCAGACTACTGCAAGAGACAGACAAAGAAAGGAAGACACAGGCCGCGAGATACAGAGAGTTTAGTCTGGGTTCGCTCATGGTTAATGACACCAAGGAAGAGAGCTTTTCTTTCTCCCTTCATGCTACACCAATGCACTGTTGGTAACCCAGAGTTAGTCACTAGTGCATATAATCTGCACATATATCTAGGTAATTACCTTGATCTTTCATTTTCTTCCTATATACTCACCGAGAAAGGACCATTTCAAAGGAACATCCAGTTCCCATTTCACCATTCTCTATAAACTTTCAACAAAACTAACTGAATAGCCTCATTTCCTTTTGCTTTTCAACAAGGTATTTAGATCTCAAACACTGCGTTGCACAGTGGGGTCTTCAGAGGAGTGCATCACATAGCTGTACATGAATTTCTCAGATATTGATGTACCGATGGCACCAGACAAACCATCCCTAAGATGTCTGCGTTAGCAGCTGAACTTCAGTTCTTCGTGGCGAGATTGTTATAGAAGGACAGAACAGGAGGGGAAGATGTTCAGTCTTTAGGAAATGGGTACACAGTTCACGCTAAACAGATAGGCCTGTTAGGGTCCCTTTGCGAGTGTTCTGAGATGAACAGAGATAGGCCTGTCAGGGCCCCCTTCACGAGTGTTCTGAGATCAACCAGTGAGATATCAATAGCTGAAAGCTGTTAGTGCTTAGCATTGAAACTTTGATCATATGGGTTTTTAAAAGAGTCTTCACTTACTTTTGATGACTCAAGACTCATTAAAATGTGTATATGAGATGGAAGGAGTGAGGCATGAATATTTAGATTCCACATCTTGAGAAGGCCATATGGCCAGAGACATAATTATCTATTATTTGCATGTCTTTTGTATGATATTGGAAATTTATGTAATTTAATCTGCATAATACAATAACTGAAAAATATAAATAAAATAAAACTTAAAAGAAAGTGAAACAACTTACTTGATTTTTATTTTTGGATTATAAGAGAAAACTGTTCTTGGGAAAAAATTATCTCCACTCTATGTGATGGGAGGAAAATACACATTTTCAAGTTCATGAATGCTGCTCATGGTTACTTAGACAAAAGTTTACGTTAGCCTAAAAAACTTACCTCTTTGTGAGAAATACAAGTCGTTTTACTGTGTCTTTGAAAGCTTCTTTCACTTGCTTGTTTCTGAGCGTGTAAATGAACGGGTTAAGCAAAGGGGCGACTGATGTGGTGAGCACAGACACAACCTTGTTGACGGCCACCCCTTCCTTTGCTGAGGGCTTGATGTAGATGAAGATGCAGCTTCCATAGGTGATAGAAACCACAATCATGTGGGAAGAACAAGTGGAAAAGGCCTTTTTCCTTTGTTGGGCAGAAGGGAGCTTTAAAATGGTCTTGATGATATATGTGTAGGACAGAATAACACACACTAGAGTAATAATGAGTGTCAGTATGGCAAAGGCCAAGACAATCTTCTCTATCAACACTGTGTCTGAGCAGGTTATCTGTAGAATGGGAGAGGCATCACAGCCAAAATGATCAATCACATTGGAGTCACAAAACTCCAGCTGGAGGCCTATGCCAAGAGGCGGGAGGATGATCAGCAGGCCGGCAAACCAGCAGGCGAGAACAAGAACGGTGCACACTCGGGTGTTCATTAAGGTGGTGTAATGTAGGGGCTTGCAGATGGCTACATAGCGATCATAGGACATCGCAGCGAGGAGGAAAAATTCCGTGGCCCCGAAGAAGACAACAAAGAACAACTGGGTGGCGCAAGCGTTGTACGTAACAGTGTTGTCTCCTGTCGCCATCATATACAGGAATCTGGGAATACACACAGTGGTGAATGAGACTTCTAAGAAAGAGAAATTCCGGAGGAAGAAGTACATGGGTGTTTTAAGATGGGGATCCAAAAGCGTGAGAGTGATAATGGTGAGGTTCCCAGCCACACTCAATATGTAGGTTAGAAACAAAAACAGAAAAATGAGAACTTGTAGTTCTGGGTCATCTGTCAACCCCAGTAAGATGAATGTTGTTATTGCTGTATGATTTCTCATCCCGTCTGGTGCCAAGTCATGAGTGTTTGGACCTGAAGAGAGAAGTGTTAGAAGAACCTGGCAATACAACCTAAGCAAAGACATCGCAGTCAGTGAGCCTGTGTGCATGCCGTTTCTGCCACTTGAGAATCAATTTGCTAATACAGCTACACCTATCGCCACCTTCTTGGTGGCTTCTCTGGCAATGTCTGTCTTCCTCTTAGGTATATAATTCTCTGGTATTTCTACATTATCTAGAAATAAAACATAACAAAACACAAACCAAAGAAAACATGTTTGTGTAACATATAATTGCCTCAGCTATATTGCCTCAAGGTACAGATTGTAGCTTGCTTTTCCTAAAAGAAGTCTTGACAGCTCTGAAATTCTTTAGCCCACATCCATCTTTTTAAAGTTTTCTTCATTCCCAACATTCTGAAATGCTTGATTTCTCAAACCAACAAATATCTGCTAACTAGAATTTTGTGTTGATAATCATGTTGTTTTCATTAGCTTTAACAGTAGCATTTCTTTTTAAAGTGACAAGTTTGTTATTTGAATTCAGATTCACTTTAAATAAAGAGATGAAAGTGATGAAAATATAATGTTGTATCTTTTGTTTGTCATTACTGTATTTGGCGATGAAGAACATTTCTTCAGAAAGCTGTTAGAGATCTCTGAAGAGGTGCTGTTAAGGAAACGTGTTCATAAACCTGATGTAGGCCTATAGTGACACTTTAGGCAGAGGAGGGAGTGAGGATGGTCTGCAGTGCTGCCCTCCTGAGAACCTGCTTTCTTAGCCACGCCCAGTCTTCGGCATCCTGAGAACCCACACTCTTAGTCACACCTGTTCTTCAGCATGTTTCTAACCCATTGGAACAATTTCTGATGTTTCCCTCCTTGAGCCATTCTTCCCACCCATTGCTAATTCTATCTGTCTGTCTATCTATCTATCTATCTATCTATCTATCTATCTATCTATCTATCTATCTATCTATCTATCATCTATTACCCATTCACCTATCTATCTGCCTACCTACTTACATCATTCAGTCAAACATACAGGAACCCTGGGTCCATATAAACCAGTAAACAGATTACTAGAACACACTACCTTTCTCAGAGTCCTTCCGCTGTCCACTTTAGTACCTCCAGTCAAGGGCCTCTTTACTCACTTTTATGTTTTTCAGGATTCACAGTATGACATTGGCTCAGTCACTTCTTCATGTCTTAACCCTCATTGAAAGTTGTTTTTAAGTAGCTGTTTTCAGATGTTCATCCTGTAAAAGAAAATGTGATGAGTTTATTCTCATAAGGAAAATAATAGTTCATAATAAATAATACATTAATCCAATTGTTCTCAATGTTCCAACCCTTTAGTATGGTTCCTCATGTTTTGGTGACTCCCAACTATAAATTATCTTCATTACTACTTCATAATTGTAATTTTCCTACTGTTATGAGTCATAATGCAAATGTCTGTGTTTTCTGATGTCCTTAGGTGACCCCTGTGAAACGGTCATTCAACTCCCAAGAGTTGTGACCCACAGATTGAGAGCTGCTGCACTAGCCTGTCATTTTCTTTGTCTTATTAATAGGAATTAACTATTCAAGTAGCAATTTTAGCTTAGTTCAATGGCCTATTGACAAGTCATACAAAATTGTATATTAGAGGATAGATAAAAAACCATAATTTATCTTTTAAATGATTTATTTTTTTGTTAATTACAGTTTATTCATTTTGTATCCAAGCTGTAGCCCCTTCCCTCATCTCCTCCTAATGCCACCCTCCCTCCCTCATCTCCTCCCATGTCCTTCCCCAAGTGCACTGATAGAGAAGGTCCTCTTCCCCTTCCCTCTGACCCTAGCCTATCAGGCCTCATCAGGTCTGGCTGCATTGTCTTCCTCTGTGTCCTGGTAAAGCTGCACCTCACATCAGGGGGAGGTGATCAAAGAGCCAGCCACTGAGTTCATGTCAGAGACAGTTCCTGTTCCCATTCCTAGAGAACCCACTTGGAGACTGAGCTGCCATGGGTTACATCTGTGCAGGAGTTCTAGGTTATCTCCATGCATGGTCCTTGGTTGGAGTATCAGTCCCAGAAAAGACCCCTGGGCCCAGATATTTTGGTTCTGTTGCTCTCCTTGTGGAGCTTCTGTCCCCTCTAGGTCTTTCTATCTCCCCCTTATTTCATAAGATTCCCTAAATTCTGCCCAAAGTTTGGCTATGAATTTCAGCATATGCTTTGATACACTGCTTGGTAGAGTCTTTCAGAGCCTATTTTGTGGTAAGCTCCTGTCCTGTTCCCTGTTTTCTCCCTCTTCTGATGTACATCCCTTTTGCCTTTATGAATGAGGATTAATCATCTTACCTAGGGTCCTCCTTCTTGCTTAACTTCTTTAGGTGTACAGATTTTAGTATGTTTATCCTCTGTTGTATGTCTAATATCCACTTATAAGTGAGTAAATACCAAGTGTTGTCTTTTTGCTTCTGGATACCTCACTCAGGATGATCTTTTCTAGATCTCACAATTTGCCTGCAAATTTCATGATTTCCTTGTTTTTAATTGCTGAGTAGTATTCCATTGTGTAAATGTACCACACTTTCTGTATCCATTCCTCAGTTGAGGGACATGTGGGTTGTTTCCAGATTCTGGCTGTTGCGAATAAAGCTGCTACAAACTTAAACCATAATTTCTTATGTTTTAAGACAGCCATGCAAGTTGTAGCAAAATGTGTGTCTTGTTGAGCATCAAAGATATTGTAGGTTTCTTATTTTTCTTGTTGTTTATTTGAACAACAAGAAAAATAAGAGGTCCAGAAAATATTTTCAAGAAAATCATAGAAGAATCTCATATAAATAATTAACAAGTATCCACTATTTAAAGAGCATAACATTAAGACTAGGAACAAATTATTCCCAAAAGGATCTTGCAAGCTACAACAGTAGCAAATAATATTTAATTTTCTGATATATAAAAGATTGCAGCAAAAAACACGGCTTTAAGTTTAGGGTAACAATGATGCTATTTCTATTTCTTGACACTTGTTTTTAGTTATCCTGGCAGCTAATCATAATTTCTTCCATTAATTCAGATTGATTTCCTACCAAAACTGGCAATCAAAACTGTCATCAAAATCTGAGTTAGCAAGACATGGTAGCAGGAGTGATTTTGGGCCAGGGAGAACTGCCGCTCTTCTTGGCTAATGGGAGAGTATCTTGTTGTGTATTTGCAGGAGAAAGACCAACAGACAGTGTTATATCAGAGTCATTTTTAATTTTCTTCCCTCTCCCATTTCTTTTTTCCTTTCTTTTTTTCCCATTTAATTGTATAATGTTTAAAAACTTTATAACAGACTTTGACGCTCTTATTCCAGCCCCCTTCTTCTACAATATTCCTTGTTTCCTATCAGAACTTTTATTTTTCTATTTGCTAGGAATGACCTCTGTACATCACACACACACACACACACACACACACACACACACACACACACACACCACACCACACCATTTAAAATACTTGGTATAGTAGTGTGTCAGATTTTAGGGACTTGTATTTTAATACAAATTAAAACTGATAGTACTTGTAACAGTACTGCTAAGCCTGTGGTAACATCTCTTTTGTTTGTAACCCCACTTTATACTCTAGGAAGCACATCAGTGGTCTATGTTAGGCTAGAAAAACAGTTCCTGGGAGGTGAAGAGTTATTTATTTTTGTAATTTGGATCAAATAGGCTGAAAACAATTTCATTCACTGAGCAATAATTTGTGCCTTTTCCCTTTAGTTACTGTTTCAATTAATATTAACAACTGTAACTGCCTTATCAACTGGTCCTTCTCATTAGGAAAAGGAGAGTGACCCACTGCAGACAAATTCTAGCTTTGTGTTTCCTCAGACTAACAGTTTATCAGAAAACTGCTGACTGCTTTTCTCCCTTTTCTGAAGTATCACTTGTAACAAACAGAATTCCAAGTTTTCAGTCTGTTTACTCTCTGTCTGCACTTTGAGAATATGGTAAAGATATATCACAACAACTCATACTTGCTTTTTGATGGTTATTCATTGGAGGTCCTTGAGAGAAGCACACTTGTGGAGCAGCCACTGATGAGGTTTGCCTGTTCTGTCTGCAGTCACATTTCACCCCCTTACCATCCACCTCATCTTCACATGGGCATGCAACTGTCTCTTCTCAACTTTAGTGTCCTTCCCTCTTGCCACATCTAAAATTACGCTAGATTTCCCATTTCAAAGAGTAAGTAGTATTAAGCAACAACAACATTTCTGTCAGAGATATTCATCCAGTCTTCTAGGGTTGGGGGCAGAGACAGGCTTCCCTGTAATTTCTGTACCTGCAGTGTTTGTTTTATATTACTACCAGCATGCACAGAGTGCAAGAACAACAAAACAGTCCTCAGTGGCTCAATTTCAAAAGTTACTAACAAGTTGATGGTGGTGTAATCCACCTTGTGAAAATTTGTAGAGCAAAGGGACAATGTCCTCAGAGACCTTCAAGGAGGTTTAATGTCATCTGAACTTGTTTGGTTTCTTCATTGAGTATACATTTCTCTGAGGATTATCTTCTTTCTATGTAGCTAAGGATGATCTCAAACTTCTTATTCTGCCTACATCTTTGAGTCCTGGGATTAGAGGAATGCTCTCCCATAGCCAGCTTTTATTATATATTAGACACAGTATCATACAAAATGAAATATTTACTCTCAAAGAAAATAAAGAAAAATTCATGTTTTAAAGATGTAAATACTGAAAGCAGTGAACTGACCAGTCAGAGCCTCACAACTCTGATGAATGATAAAAGTTTATCTTAATCCAAAGATTCCATTTTCTTGGCAAGCCACATTTATGGCTTTCCCCAATACTTAAGAGGATTATAATACACTTGAAGAAATTGATACTTAAGTAAAATCGGAAAAGTTCCAAACAAAAAACATCCAAGAAATCAAGGACACCATGAAAAGAGGAAATCTAAGAATAACAGGAATAGATGAAAAAGAAGATTC